AATAAAGGAGCCAAATCAGAACCCTAGAGGATATCTACTGATTTTCCATTCTCAAAAAATTACTCGTTTGATGAGAGGAATGAGCAGAAGTCTTGCTGTGGTGGAAAAGTACTGTCTGGTGAAGATGTTTTGATCATTTTTCTATTAAAGCTTCAGTAACATTCTCAAAATACTCTTGTAGAAGGCATAAGTACTGTTTTGCGGCCTTCCAGAATGTCAATTTAAAACAAAATGCCTTAAGTGGGATCAGCAGGTGGCATAGTGGTTGGAGAGCTGGTAGACCATGGTTTGAGTCTTAGACCAGTGGCTTGAAACTCACACCAGGCACTGTGTGCGTGCCCTAAACCCCGAAAGGACTAGAGGAGAAGGGATTGCAGCATGGCCAATCCCCCGGGAGTTGACTTCTTGCATTCTATCTCTCTGTCTCTCTCTGTGTCTTTAGTGAGTGCACACACCCTATAGCCAAAATCTCTTTAAAAAAATTAAAATGAAATAAATAGATAGAACTGCCTTTAACATCCCCCAAAACTATTGCTCTTGACTACTCTGCATTTGCCTTGACTGGATCACTTCCACCTCTTAATAGCCATTGCTTGATTGTTATTTGTCTTCAGGATTGTACTGGCCATGTAGCATCCCCTGTTACAATGATTCAAAGAAGGGGGCTGAAAGGTGGCTTGGTGGTTAAGGGCACTGGATTCCCAAAGGGCTGACCGTAGTTTGAGTCCCAGACCTGGTGGCTTGCTTTCTCACTTTCTCTCTCTCTCTCTTTCCCCGTCTCTGGTCAAATTTTTTAAAATAATAATAAGTAAATAAAATTAAATAAAATAATTATTTAAAAAATAAAACAAATTTTTTTTAAAAAAAGAAAAACAATTCTTCAAAGGAATGTTTCAGAATCTTATCCTACTTATTAAAATGTCCATTATAAGCTCTGCATTCAGGGACCAGCCGGTGGCGTGCTGGATAAGGCACTGGACTTCCACATGACTGACCACAGTTTGAGTCCTGGACCTGGTGGCTTGGAAAACATGCTGGGCACATGTATCTGTGTACCCAAAATCCTAGGAGGAGAATGGAGAAGAAGGGATTGCAGTGTACCCATTCCCCACCCCCCAACCCCACTGGGAGGATGATTTCTCACTATCCCTCTCACTCTTTCTCTCTGTTTCTCTTGTGAACACATGCACCTTATGGCAAAAACCTTAAAAAGAAAAAGCTTTTGTCTACAGCTCTTCTGGTGTAACGATTTTGGTACCCACTGAGCCAATATTTGCTCAATTTCATTTTCCTGTCAGAATTGTGTAAGTTGAAGCAATTGAGATGCCTATGGCATTGGCTATTGTTTCTACTGTCAATCATCAGTCCTCTTCAATTAGGGAATAACCCAGATTAACTTTGGGTAACAAGTCCGTGTGAATGTTCCGCTGCTGTAGACATCATCGTCAACACTGTCTGGTTCATTCTTTTATTTTTTGGAGAGATTTTTGCTATAGGGCACACTCACTGGAAAGACAGAGACAGAGAGATAGAAAGCAAGAAATCACTTGCCAGGGAGGATGGCCATGCTGCAGTCCCTTCTCTGATCTCCTTTCAGGATTTGGGTATGCACACCCACGTGCCTGGCATGAGTTTTAACCTCTGGGTCCATGATTCAAACCACAGTTGACTACATGGGAGCCCAGCAACATAACCATTGTGACATCTGCTGATCCCATTTCTGGTCCCTTCCTCAAAGGAGTTATCTATTTGTAATTTACTGATTTCTATTGGACATTGTCCCCATGAACTTAGTGTAATATATCCATTATTTCACTTCGAACCAAGCTTTACCATAAATGTGGTGTTTTGTTTTTGCTTCAATTACAGCAAAATTCATATTGATAGGGGAACTTTCTTTTTTCATCATTTCTTTATTTATTACGCCTATTTTCATTTATTTATTTACTTTTTGGTTAAAAATTTTTTTTCTTGCAATTTGCCATCTGGCAAATGTTTCCTCCCCTTGCATCTTACACCCACCCTCTACCACCAACTCGCTAACAACCACTTTTCCACCTTCCAGTAGTTAGCATCCACAACCATCCTCTCCTACATCACATCTTCAAATCTCTCAACCTCTGCCATAAAGTACAGGCACTCAGTACAACTTGAGTGAGGACATGCAGTGTGCATCCTTCAAAGTCTCACTCACTCTGCTTAACATGAAATCTTCTATATTCATCCATTTTAAGTCCAACGATAAGATCTCATTTTTTCTTATACCTGTGCAATATTCCATAGTATAGATATGCCACAATTTTTCAGCCCATTCATCAGTTTGGGGGCACTTATGTTGGTTCTATGTTTTAGCAATAAACATGGATGCACAAGTGTCTTTCCAATTGAGTGTTTTCCTATCCTTTGGGTAAATACGAAGGAGTGGGATTATTGGGTCATATGGAAGTTCTATTTGTAGGTTTATGAGAAACATTCATATTGTTTTTGACAAAGGTTGAACTAATTAATATTCCCACCAACAGTGTAAGAGGGTTCCCTTTTCAACACAGCCACATCAGCATCCATCATCCTTTCTTTCTTTTTCTTTGTTTGTGTCCTAGCCATTCTAATTGGGGTTAAATGGTAACTCATTTTGGTTTTAATTTGCATTTTCCTTATAACAAGAGACTTTGAACATTATTTTTATACACCTCTTGGCCATTCATAAGTCTTCCATAAAGAGTTGTCTATACAATCCATTTGTCTATTTGAAATTGGATTATTCATTTTTTATGAGTGAGCTACTTAAGTTCCCCATATAGTCTAGATATCAATCTATTGTCTGATGAATAATTTTTAAATAGTTGTTCAGTTACCTGAGACATTCTTCACAGAAAGAGAAAAAACAATGATAAAATTGGTCCGGGATAGTCAAGGATCCCATATTGTCAAGGTAATACTGTGTCATAAGAATAAATAGAAGGCAGGGATGGCAGGTGGCATGGTGGTTAAGGGCATTGGACTCCCATATGGCCAACCATGGTTCAAGTCCTGGACCTGACAGCTTGCTTTCTCGCTTTCTCTTTCTCTCTCACTCCCCCTCTCTATCTCTCACTCAGTCCCTCTCTGGTCAAATTAATATACAATATATAAATAATAAAGTTAAATAAAATAATTCTTCTAAAAAAAGAAAGACTAAATAGGAGGCATCTTACTACCTGACTTTAATACTTATTACAAAGCAGTGATCATCAAAATAGCATTGTACTGGCACAGAAATCATGCACAAAAGGATCAATGGAACAAAATAGAGAATCTAGAAAAAAGATCATACAGCTAACTGATCTTTGACAAAGGGTATAAGACAAGGAGATGGAGAAAATTCTTTTCAGCAAATGGTGCTGGAAGAACTGGATATCCAACTGCAGAAAAGTGAAGCTGGACCCCTATCTCTCACCATGAATCAACTCAAAATAGATTGAAGGTTTAAATAGAAAGTCTTGAACAAGTACAATTAGGAAAAAGTGTAGAAAAACTTTAGAAAATAGAGAACCAGCAGTTAGCATAATGGCTATGTCGCTGGACTCCCACATAGTCGACCACACTGTGTGTCCCGGAGGGGTGATTTCTCGCTTTCTGTCTCTGTCTCTCTCTGTCTGTCTGGCGAGCGCACGTGCCCTACAGTGAAAAACCTCTCAAAAAAAAAAAAAAAACTTTAGAAAATATTAGAGCAGGCCAAGATTTCTTAAATAAGATCCCTAAACCATAGGCAATCATCCCAAAAGTAGACAAGTGGGATTACATTAAGCTAAAAAATTTCCTCACAGCAGAGGAAACACTAATTAGGGTGAAAACACAACCCTTGGAATGGAAGAAAATATTTGCAAGTTATTCCTTATGCTATGTGACTGAAACTATAGAAATTTATCTCTTACACTTCTGGATCCTGAAGTCCAATCCAAGATCAAGATACCTACAGGCCAAGGGTCTGGGTCCACTTTCAGGTTTGCAGATGGCTTTTTGTTGTATCCTCACATGGCAGAGAGGAGAAGGAGAGCACACACATACACCAGTGCTCCTCCTCCTCTTATAATAATATGAATCCTATAATGAGGGCCCTTTTATAATGACCTCCCAAAGGCCACATCCTAATACCATCCAATTGTAGGTTAGAGTTTCAGCATATAATCTTGGGGGGAACCCAGGAAAGCAATTCATAACACTAGGTTCCCAATATTCCCTAACCCCTATTATCTTAGCCTGTATCTCCAATTCTTTGTATTATTCCCTCGTCCATGTTATTTTAGCCTCTATTCCCAATTCTTTGTATTATTATCATTATATTAAAATTTATTTTATTTGACTTTACTTATTTATTTTAATTTGAGCAGAGAGGGAGAGGGAGAGAGAAAGGGAGAAGGAGAAGGGGGGAGAGAGAGAGAATTAGAAAGCAAGCTGCCAGGTCGGCCATATGGGAACCCAGTGCCCTTAACCACCACACCACCTCCTGACCCCAATTCTTTGTATTCTTTGCACAACAAAACTTGCTTCCAAGAGACCATTAGAACTTAAAAACAAACAAACAAACAAACAAACAAAAACCTTTGGAAGCATCATCCTCTTTCCAGCCAGTGTGAATATACTTCTCTATTAATAGTAATTGATTATTTAGTGTGTACTTGACTTTCTTTTAAACTGTTTACCTTTCTCCAACCCTTTAATATTCCCTACAGGTATATGATGTAGGTTTTATTATCCTCAATATTCAGAAGAGAAAACTGAGCCATGACTTATCCAAAGTCACACAGGGGACATTCCAATTTAGGCATTCATAATGGTCCCAATAACTCAACATTGAAACTACATAGTCCTAAAGACAATAATCAGAACTGTGTAAAATTAAAATACATAAAGGCTTTGGTAATGTCGAATGTGTTACTATTTTAAAGACTTTTTTTAAAGTTCAAAAGCAGTAACTGTTTATTAACTAACCAGATTACAAAAATAATCATGGTAGGTACCTTAGTTCATATTTCTAATACATCTGTTGACCTGGTCTTCCTGCCAGCATCTCCACCTACTACAGAATGATGGTGTTTTTCTTCATTCCACCTGTTAGAAAACATAATTCGAAAGTCCATGGGAAGTGATTTGTTTCTTTGAAGCATTTTCCAACAGTATAGATCTCATAAATCCGATTCTTCATGCGGATATGTGCATATTTACCAAGAGATTGGAGCCAGACTGTCAAGGCATTTTGTTTCTTATATTGATTTTGTCATACCTATGCTTGTAGATAAGTTTATCTTCTGACTTTGGGTCTAGGTACCCCCATGAGTCATGTGATTCCACATTAAAGAATAGTGATTCTCAAAATATAGTGCCCAGACAAGCAGCCTCAACATCGGAACCTGGGAACATAGGAAACTGTAAGCGTGCAATGTCAGGGATCCCAAACCAGACCTACAGAGCAGAAAGTCGGGGTGGGGCAGTGATTTGTATTTTAATAAGTTCTTGGGCTGACTCTTATGTCTATTGATTTGAACAAACAGAGATGCCAGTTGGTTGGAACACAGTTGTGGCACTCGATCCTGTGGCAGTTGGGTTAAATACTAGCGTCAAAAAGCGTTACACTAAACCAATGGTGACTAGTTCTAATTACCCATCTCTTCTGGAAGTACACTGCATGCAAAATGCATTTCCATTTTAACCAACCATGTTGTTGTTCCAGTCCAGGTTGCATTTTACACAAATAAAGCAGCCCCCTTGCGTCCTCGCCTCTCGCCCCAGTCGGTGGGATCTCACCAGTACACCTAGCAAAGCTCTGGCCCCAGACTGGCGGGAAATTCAAAGTCTGCAAGCGAAACAGACCTTGGCCAATCAGAAGCCAAGTTGGAGCCACTGCCCCATCCTGCAGATATGATTGGTGGTCTCCCGCGAGCCGAAGCCACCCACACCTCGCATCCTCCAGCACCAGCACACATTGTCAACGGCTTTCCTCAACGGCTCTGAGCCCCGAGGGTATGCGGACGTTAAAGGATGCAGACCCGGCAGAGGAGCTGAAGGCCAGAGGACGAAAGACAACCAGGAGCAGTTCGAGTGCCAGGAGCAGCTTGAGTGCCAGATGCAGGTCTGGACCCCTGAGGAGGAGGAGGAGGGCTCGGGTCTCATGGCCAAGGCTGAGGCCGTGACCGCCGGCTGGATGCTGGATTTCCTCTGCCTCTCTCTTTGCAGAACCTTCTGCAATGGCCGCTGTCAGGACTTCCGTAGGACCCGGGACAGCGCAGAGGGCGAGGGCGGTTGGGGGGGGGGTGTGGGGGGGGGTGCTGCGGAGGCAGGTGCCCTGCGCTGTTCCTCAGTGTGGTGGGGAGGAGGGTGGTGTGGGGGAGGCTGGTGGAGGAGGGGCCGGCAAGGCCAGTGAGTTGTGGTTAGTTGAGGTTCCGAGGCTCCGGACCAAGTTTGGTTCCAATCCCTAATCTGCCACTGTCGGATCCTCACAGGTTCAGGTTTTCCCCTCGATACAATGAGACTAAGACCTCCGATTAGAGTGGACAGAAGGACTAAATGACTTAAAGTGTATAAAACTGCACCCATCCTTGTGCCCAGCTCGTTCTGTCTCATCTGGCTGGTGTTCCTATAGTAGTACTTCTGAGCAATCCCTAGCTTCTAGCGACCTCGGCCTCAGTATTTCATGCTAATTCCGGAGGTATTTAAACCACATTTAGCCAGGGGCCAGCGGACGGCGCACAGACGGCGCAGCAGCTACCTGGATGGATTCCCACCTGGTCTCCGGTTGGAATCTCCCACCAGTGACTTGAAATTCAGCCGAAAGCGTGCCCAAGATCCCCCTAGGAGAATGGAGGAAAAGGGATTGCAGCCTGACTGCCCCCCCACACACACCTCGTGATTTCTTACTTTCCCCTCTTACTGCCTCTGTCTCTCTCTCTCTGGCCAGCCCTGGCACCCTTAAGGCAAAAACCTCTTAAATAAAATAAAAAGTAAAATAAACCTCCTTTGGCCCATTTGGTCAGTATAGGGCTCAGAATAAAAGTATTTGCCCATGAGATCTGCTGCCTACACAGCTTGTAAGTGATGGACAAAGGCCCATAGAGAAGAGTAGTGCAGCTTTTTGAAAGATAACAGAATGCTGTGTTTGTACTTTCTTTTTTTTTCTTTTTTCAGAATTGGCACTGAATTTACAGTATTAGCATATATTCATCATTGTATAGAAATAGAATTTAATAGGAAATTCTCAGAAAGCTGTATTGACATGTTATCTTCCCAATAACCCACAGAGTTAGGCAGATAGTTTACTTAGTGTAGAGGCCTGAATAATTGACGTAGTTTACAGGTGCTGACAGGTCAGAAGCGGTGTTCCCGAACTATACCTTATCTTTCAGTGGGACATCACAGATAACACTGGAACCCAACCATGAATAATTAACATTAACTGGAAAATTAAATCCTGCAATGATGCCAGTTCACCCTAATGGGAATTATTTAAAAATCTTACTTGGGGAGAAAGCTAAGATTGTGTGTGTGGTAATGGAGAGTTGGAGACATCAGTTTAAACTCCTTCTTAGCTAATAGCGATATAGATGAGTATAGCGGTATTTACGTGCGTGTGTGTAGACATGGATTGCTAGACACACATGTTCCTTGCTCTATTAGATGATAGGGCACAGGCAGCGTAATCTGTGTAGCAACAAATAGACTTAGCACGCTAGTCTTGGTTTCTTATACTGTTCTACAATAAAAGGAACCAGAGCTCTTTGGAGAAATGACTCTTTCTGGGACTTGGAAAGGAAACATGCAAGGTAAACCTGTAATGCCAGAAAGTAAGGAAGTGCTCCAAAACAGAACAAAAACTCCCTCAGTTAAAGGGAAACAAGAGCCATCTGTAAGAGCCTCCCAATGGCCAAAGCTGAAGCAACTAGAGCAAGAAAGAAAAGTAGCATTGCTTTATAACCCAGAGCATAAAGTGAATATCTGTGAGTCCATACTGACCAAAAAGAAATGATTGCATAAATAACTGCCAACACCCATTGCCAACTTTTAACAAAAACAACCCAATCTCTTCAACCTGACAAATCAGAGAACCAGGCCATACTGTGGCGACAATAATCCCTTCTCAAAAAGGCGAGAAGGGAAGGGATATAAAACAAATCCTTCCCTTGGCAAATTTGGATACTCAAAACGAAATAGACTCAGATAATTGCCAATATATTATGGCACAAATCATAATACCCCCTCATAAAAAAACCCATACCTGAAGTCTTTCTCCTAGACACAGGCTCCCAAGATTCATTACTTAGATCATTAGAACCTATGAAAGGCCCACAAACTCACATATAAGAACTGTCAGGAAATGTAATCACATTAACTAAAATCCTAGTAAAAAATAGTAATAGGAGATATAACCCTAGAAACCACAATGTTAACTAATCAAACCACTTCCAAACTACTGGGAATGGACATATTACCCTTAATACTAGACCACATCCCACTCAAACTGGCCCCTTATCTAGCCACAGCCTTAACAGAACCGATCAAACTGCCAGCACCCTCCCAACCATCATTTACTCCTCAACGCTCTTTAATGGGAGGACAACAGGAAATCACAGAGCAAATAGACTCTTTAGAGGAGGCTTAATAGAAAAAGGCTACTCACATCATTTTAATTCTCCGGTACCAGCCCATCCTTAAACTAAATGGTCAATACCGCATTACAGTAGATTATAGAAAGCTAAATGATGTCCTGACTTACCAGGAAACTTAGCAAACCCTTTAGGCCTAATTAACACCATACAAGCACATAATAAAAAATATGCAGCAGCAATAGGCTTATCAGATAAGTTTTTTTTGCTATTCCCCTACATCCAGATTCTAGACCATTCACTATATTTCCATGGAAGGGCATCCAATACCAATTTACCTGCTTGCCTCAAGAGTATAAAAATTCCCCTACAATAGCTCATTTCCTACGATCCTCATCTATAGACAAAACAGCTTACAAATCTGTCATTTACACATATATAGATGACATCATTCTATTGAATGATGACCTCGCAGAACTCAAAACAGACTTACAAAATCTTACAGAAACATTACGAGCACAAGGTTGGACCATCAACCCTGACAAAATACAAACACCAGGAACATCTATACAATTTTTTAGAAATAAATTGGAATACTTAAGCCAGAGAAATACCAGACAAAATTATAAATAGATTAATGACATTGAAAATTCCTACCACCAAAATGGAGGCACAAAAATTGATTGGACTATTTGGCTATGGAGAGCACATATTCCATATTTATCAGTACTATTAAAACCAATCTATGATATTACTAGGAAGTCCACTGACTTCCATTGGGGACCAATACAAACACAATCCTCACGAACTATCCAAACATACATAAACACCTACAAAACACTGGCCACAGACACAATTACATGGATATGGCATATTTCCAATGTCTCTGCATGGTTTGACCTCCACGGGCCAGGCCTATGCCTGGAATTACTAAATTCCATGGAGCCTGCGTTGCCTGAATTCACGCCAGAACCTCTGGCAATGCCAATAGCAAGGAAGAGCCCCAACAATTGGAGTAGCAGTCTCCAGAATGCCTGGTTTACAGATGGATGAGCCTCCATAGTAGGGAGCCAAAGGTGCTGGAGAGCTGCTTCATTCAATCTTGGCACCGGCAAAAGCCTAATAGCTGAAGGCTCTGACCAATCAGCCCAACACGCAGAACTTAAAGCTATACTGAGAGCTACAAAACATGCATTAGAACATAATCACTACACAGTTTACATATTCACAGACTCTAACTCATGTTACCAAGGATTAAACAATTGGTCCGTACAATGGAAAGTCTCAGACTTCTATATAAATGGCAAATCTTTGCGGTCAATTGACATATGGAAAAAATTAGCAAAGCCTCCCATGAAATCTCTATTAAAATTACACACATCTCAGCACATACTAACAAAAACACACCAACACATCAGCACAATGACGCAGCAGACAAACTTTCCGAAGGTATTCCCATAGACCTCAAACCTACATTAACCTCATTTGAGGCCCAACCACTAAATATTACCTTACAGAGAGAACCAACCACGCAAAACTGGAAAATAAAAACCCCTGATAACAGAATAAAATTAGAATTCCTAACACATCACAATGGCAAATCAAACCTATAGACACCCTAACTATCACTCCTAACTTAATCAGACAATTACACATCTTTCTAAGACATGCACGACAACACATAATCACAAATCAGCTACACAAAAGAAACTTACGGACACCCATAAAGATAATAAACCAAAGAAATGATTCATGCATTCTTTGCACCCATGCTTCAACATTTAAATTTAACCCCTAGTCTATCCCCAATACACACCTATCCCCTTCTTTGAAATTCAAATAGACTTCACAGGACCCTTAGATGTCCCATATCCCCCAAAATATGCTTTGACCATAGTAGATTGCTACAGAAATATCTGCTTTGCCTTTGCTACCTCACATCCTAATGCAAGAGCTACAAGTACAGGCTTATGCACATGGATAACATTTTTTGGATAAACCCCTACTAATAGAATCATATCAAAGAACACAATTACTGCAAAAGAAGTACATACGTTTTTACAAAACATACCTACCGTATAACCCATAATCGACTGGCAAAACAGAGAGAACTAATGACCTGATAAAATGATTACTGTATATAATAATTAAAACAGAAAGACCCACAACATTACAAACAGCCCTCTTAACCACATGTACAATTCTAAATAATAGACATAAAACCCCCTGACCCCCCCCCCGCCACTCACTTAGATACTCAAGACCTACCAAC